TCTCTCTCTTCATGGACTTCAATTATATTCATGCTCATCTTACATATCATTACTTATTTTATTTACCATTCTAAGCCTTCTATATTAACTTCTCCACATATTTCACTCTTCTTAATTCTATCTTAATTAATCATCTTAATTTGAGTCATTATATTTGTATCTTTTGTCCATTCTTTATTGTCCCTTTGTCTCGTTCCTTATAAAAAAAAAAAGAAGTTTCTCCTGAAATCACTAATCAGAGTATGATGCCTTTCTATCTCCCCCCTAAATTAATCAAATTAACCTTTAAAATAATGCCCAATACCCAATCCGATTTTGCTTGGTACATTCTATCTAAATAGTACATCCAGAATAATTAAATACATAGTTAAACAATAGATCTAAATATTAAAAACAAATACTATAATAAAAATTTTATAATAACATCAATACCATAATCTTATTAAACTCTTTAATTAAAACTCAATATTCTAAACCTCCCCTCATATTATTAAATTTTAAAACCAATCATTATTAAACATTTCAACATTTTAATCTCTTATCAACTCTTAACCCATTTAAGTTTTCTATTTCTAATACAATACTACAATATCATCTTATGTACCTTGCAAAATCTTTTTGAAGAAATTATACTTTATCCTTTATCCCTAAAAAAGATTCCTTTTTCCCCATTTAATTTCAAAACTTTGTAGCTTTTCTCCACCTTTTCCCTTTCTTTCTTCTCCCAACAAACCTTTCTACCCCGCCTTCTTCTAGCCTCTGCCTTACTGGCTTCCCTTCTCTGTCGTGTTCCTTTTCCCTTTTGTTTACTATCATATTGATTTTGCACCTTATTTTTCCCTTTCTTAAGTGTTTTTTTAAATCTTAAGTCCTTTATTTCTCTTCCTTTCCCTCTTCCTTTTTTCTTGGTCGAGTTCTGAAATTTATTAAAAATGGCTTCCTCTCCTTCTTCTGCTGTCTTCATCTGTTGTAATGTTTGTTGATAGTTAATAAGCGCCATTTCTAAAAAAAGGAAGGCTTCTTTCAAACCAGCTTTACCATTTTTTTTTTGCTTGTTCATAATCTTTTCTCAGTTCCTCAATAGAAAGAGCCATTATAAATCTTTTCTTTTCCCCTTCTTTCTTCTTACAACAACCAGAATATTCCAAAGAAAAAATAAAACAGTCCCAAAGTTATCAATCAGTCCAAACCAAGGCAGAGTTCTCACTTTCTCCTCCTGGGGTAGTATCAATCAGAAAAAAAGAAAGTCCAAATCTGTTTCTTAAAATCTTATTGCAATATATTTTAGTCTTCAAATCCTTAAGGCATCTCCTCCAACAAAGTCTTAGCATACAAATATTTTTTTTTTAGTCCTCTCTCTTCCCACTCATCGCTTAAAGCCAGTTTTCACCTAAAAAAAATAGGTTTCTTAATATTCACTTATTTATTCCGTAGGAAAAGAGGGTAAGCTTTCCTTTCAGCACCACCAAACTGCCGCTTTTTTCCTCTTCTAGAAGGTATCATTCAGAAAATCATACTTTTCAAGAATTTTGTTAAATATGTCTTAGAGTCCTAGGAACCAAGAAAAACTTTCTCCTTTCAAAAACTTTCTCCACTTCCTCCTGCGCATTCTTATCCGGCTGCCAGCTTCTTTGTGGCGGCCATTACGGACCGCCGCTGCACCGTCTTGGGAAAAGGGGGTTCTGCCGGCCGGGGAGGGGGTCTGCAACACCCCCAAACCCCTCTCCGGATCCCCCTACCTTCAGCTGCCCCTACAGGGCAGCCTAGCTCCGTACCCGTCCGGATCGGAGCCCCAAAAATGGCTAGCACAGCAGGGATCGCGCAGCTTCGCGAATCCCTGCCGCTCGCGAAGCCGACAAACCGGAAGTTTCCAGTATCTTGGCATTCTTTTGGATGGCCTCCGAGGGTTGGGAATGGGAGACACGGCGTTTCAGTCGTTCTCCTCCCTTTGCGACCAGTTCCAGTCAGTGACACCAGAAGGGACTTGATGTGTTTGCTCAAGGCTCTATGCTCCCTTTCTCCTCTATTTGATATCTAGGTGAGAGGAGGTTTTCAAAAATAGACCGGGCAACCTTTTGACTGGCCTCCTGCCTTGAGCCGGAGGTTGGACTTCAAACTTGGCAACTTTTAAGACTTGTGGTGGACTTTAACTCCCGGAAGTTGAAGTCCACAGTAGAACAATAGAATAATAGACTTGGAAGGGGCCTTAAAGGTCTTCTAGTCCAACCCCCCTGCTCAGGCAGGAAACCCGACACCATTTCACACCAATGGCTGTCCAATCTCTTCCTAAAAACCCCCAGTGATGGAGCCCCCACAACTTCTGGTGGGAAGCCGTTCCACTGGCTAATTGTCCTCCCTGTTAGGAAGTTTCTCCTTCGTTTCCACCTGTTGCTTCGTGTCCTGCCTTCAGGTGCTTTGGGGAATAGGTCGACCCCCCTCCTTCTCTGGGGCAGCCCCTCAAATGCTGGGATAATGCTATCGTGTCACCTCTGGTCCTTCTTTTCATTAAATTAGACATTTATTTTGTTTTAGAAAAATTATATTGCCCCCTACTCACACGTGGAGACTCAAGGCAGCTTCCCTGAATATAAAAACCCTATAAAAGAAGAAAAAAGGAAAATAATCACCCTCCACTCTGGCAACAGCAGACATTCATCCCCATTTCCGGCAACTCTTCTTCCTGTGTTTTAGCCTTCAGGCTCCCAAGGCCCAAGGAGTCCACTGTGTATTCTGTGATGTGACCCACCCACACGAATGAAGTGACATCAGCACACAGAAGGTTCTCCATTGCACACCTGGGCCAAGGGATGGTGTAGAGGTTTGTTGCGGGGCGTGGAGTTTCTGGGGGTGTGGATAGGAGAGAGCAACTCTGGTTCAGGCCTAGCAGGGCTGAGGAGCAGGCCTGGTTTTACAGCCTCAAACCTTCGTCACCTCTTGGTTGGATGCAGTTGGAGCCCACCCGGAGGCCGCCACTGATTCAGATGGCCGGGGGTGGAGATGGGCCAGGTCCCCTCCACAATGCCACCTGGTGAGAAACTTAAGAACAGGAATTTATACTCCCCCCCCCCCCACTCCTCATTTATACAACACAAGAATGTAACACCTCCAGCTCTCTTCTCAGACGCAACCCCTCCCCATGGCAGCCGAAAGATGCAAAGCAGTAGAAAAGTAGAAAAGATCTTGAAGGCTGACAGCTAGTTCGTCCCCTGTGGGTGGATAGTGGATAGAGCAGAAGCAGGAACATCATTGCCATAAGCTAAATCAGGGGTCTTCAGATCTGACAGCTTTAAGACTGGTGGACTTCAACTACCAGAATTCCTCCTCCAGTCATGTTAGCTCAGAAATTCTGGGAGTGGAAGTCCACTAGTCTTAAACTTGTCAAGTTTGAAGACCTTTGTGCTAAATAAATAAATGTTGGTTCAAATTGCACTGGGTAAAATGAACTGGAAAATAATAGGACAACACCCAATGTTCAGTTAGGTGCTAACAAGAAGGTGTAGATGATACCAAACTTAAAGCTGTCCACTGTTTCAGTAAAATGGTGGAACCCCAAAGAAAAGATTTGCATGGACTTTTTCAGTCTACCATTCTTTCCTCTGGAGTGACTCCCTTTCAATGGAGACGGAAGAGTTCAGGATCGTAAGCAGTGACGAGGTCTCCAGGGAGCACAAAGCACGCACAGAATCTCGGTCAACCTACACAAGCTTTATTGTTCACCATTTCTTCCGCATCATACGTGGGTACAGAGTGCATACAGAGACATGTTCACTTGCTGTGCTCTGCTCAGGCCCAGGGATTGCCCAAGAATTGGGGAAGAGGGGAGCATCTTCTGCAGATGACAGTGATGTCCACGGACTGGGGTCTTCAACAGCTTGTCCTCTTTCCCTTTGCCCAAGGCCTCCCTCACATATTCCTTTTCACGTCACCTCAGCTTTTCTTTTCTTTTTTTCCCAATAAATTTTTATTATTTTCCACCAGTACAAATCTTAGTTACTTTTTCAACAGTATTGACATCCACATATAATATTATCTTATACTTTAACATCTATTCGTACTTATCTTAATCTATATTATCTTTGTTTATCACTAATCATCAATACAATATTACAGTTATTATTATACATCTTTAATATTGTCTTATTCCTTTAACATCTATTCATACCTATCCTGAATACCTATGATCCTTATTTATCATTAATCATTAGTACATGTTACTTTTATATCACACCTCAGCTTTTCAATGACAATTGCTGGGTCAACTGTGACTTACTGCATGGCAGTTAACGGTTAACCTTCTTATGACTGGTGGTGGTTCTGTGATCATTGTCTGATCTTGATAGATGCTTTTTCTGTGACCTTCTCCATGGCAATTCTGACCAGGCCTGGTCCAGAGGCTCGCTTGGTTTGGCTGCATTGGATCTGCCCGGTTCCTTCTGAGCAAGCCCCTCACAAGCTCATCACAAGCAGGATTTGAGCACAAAGGCACCCATCCACTCTGCACATCTGCACCTTTCCCCCACTTCCATTCATCTCTTTCTCCCAAGATCTTATTTCTGGCATAAGCAATCAAGGTGACTGGAGGAAATTAAGTTCTAAATCTGGTGATTGTACATTTTGACAGCGCTGGTAGCCAAGGCAGTTTCTCCATTTATTGCCTATGTGCCCTGGCGGGCCTCTAGAAAAGGGGCCCAAGGCTGCCGTGTAGCTGAGGCCCCCTGGGGCAGCCTACAAGCACGGGATCCCCAACCGGTCCCACAGTCCAGCTGCAGCCAAGGGGGCAAGAGGGAGAAGGAGATTTGGGGAGCAGATTCAGACAGACCTGGATTTGACCAGGACCTTGTTTGGGAGGAACACTCTGATGACCTGGTTCCGAATCTCCTTGGTTCTCACTCCGTATACAATGGGATTCAACAAAGGAGGAAAGAGAAGGTAAAAGTTGGCCAGTAGGATATGAACGTGGGGGGCCACGTTGTGGCCAAAGCGGTGGGTGAAAAACGAGAAGAGGGCTGGGCTGTAAGTTATGGTGATGACACAGAGGTGGGAACCACAAGTGCCGAAAGCTTTCAACCTGGCCTCACTGGAGGAAAGGCGCAGCACTGCACGGACAATGAAGAAGTAAGAGAGGCCAATGCACAGAAGGTCCCCTCCGATGACAATCAAGGCCACACTTAGCCCATAAATGCTGTTGATCCTGGTGTCTCCACAGGCCAACTTCACCACCGCCATGTGCTCACAGTAGGTATGGTGGATGACATTTGTCCGACAGAAGGACAGCCTTTTGATCAGGAAAGGACACGGGCACATCAGCAGGGTCCCCCTGACAACAGCTGCTATCTCCATCTTGGCAACTAGGGAGCCGGTGAAGAAAGAATTGTACCTGAGAGGGAAGCAGATGGCCACGTAACGATCTACGGCCATGGCCAGCAGCACCGCTGACTCCATCATACACAAAGCGTGGATGAAGAACATCTGGGTCAAACAGGTATTAAACTTGATCTCCCCAGCCTGGAACCAGAAGATGGAAAGCACCTTGGGCAATGCAGAGGTGGTGATTGCCAAGTCAATAGTAGACAGCATGCAGAGGAAGTAGTACATGGGCCTGTGGAGGGCCGGTTCTGATACAATGACGAGTAAAATGATAGAATTCCCAGCAATAAGGATCACATAGCCAGCGCAAACGGCCACGGAGAACCACAGGTGGTAGGCCTCCAGCCCTGGGATGCCATGCAGCACGAAGAGAAAGGACCAGGAGTAGGTCACATTGCCCATCCTTCAGACCATCCAAGGTGCACCTATCGCTTTGGCCACCAGCTTCACTGGAGATCATAGCACCTGTCAATCACAACAGAGAAACAGGCAGAAGATGAAGATGGTCACTGGGACTGGAGGCTCCAAGCTTTCAGCCTCTCATTGGAGCCCATCCTTGGAGACTCCTCTCTCTCTCTCTCCCCAGGAGGTATGCACTGAGCTATGTGTAGTATTTACGTGGTGGTGCCTGGCTGTGTGTGGCTTTTAGTTGAGAAAGCTCAGAGCTGCAGGAAAGCCAGAATCTTTGTAGCTCAGGGGTGCAGTGAGGCTGCTCTCGGAGCTTGGTTGTTTTCCTGCAAATGTTTCATTATCAAACGAGGTAACATCAGTGGAAAATGTGCAGAGTGAAGAAGGATTTGCAGAGTGAAGGAGGAGGAGGACAGTGAGATCCTTGAAGCTCTCTGAGCTTAATGGTTTTCTTGCAGATGTTTCATTACCCAAACTAGGCAACATCGTCTGTTGTGATCTACCACTGAAAACCACCAAGCTCAGAGAGCATCAAGGACCCACCATGGCAGGAAACCTTCTCAGTCTCCTACGATCCTATGCAAATCTTGTTCTAGGCTAAACTATCCCCAGCAGAAGCTTGGAAGAGCTTCACAAGAAGTGGGCGGCTCGGGTCCCACAGTGACAGCAATATGCTTTGGTAGGAGTGGAAATTAAAGGGGCAACTTTACAAATGAATAATAGAAGAAGAAGAGTTGGAAGGGACCTCGGAGGTCGCCTGGTCCAGCCCCTGCTCAAGCAGGAGACCCTGCACCATTCCAAAGAAATGGTTGTCCAACATCTTCTTAAAAACTTCCCCTGATGGAACAGCTGCAACATCGGAAGCTGTTCCACTGGTTGATTGTTCTGACCACCAGGAAATTCCTCCTTAACTCCAGGTTGCTTCTCTCCTTGATGAGTTTCCACCGTTTCTTCTTCTCCTGCCTCTTCAGGGGCTTTGGAGAATAAGTTGACCCCCCTCATCTTTGGGGAAGCCCCTCAAATATTGGCAGACAGCTATCCTGTCTCCCCTGGTCCTTCTTTTCACGAGACCAGACATACCCAGTTGCAGCAACCGTTCTCATAAGTTTTAGCCTCCAGTCCCCTGAAAAAGCAGGCAAATTCATAGTAGATACAAACAGGATAGGAAAGAATTTGGAATTAACAATAAACTCCAGCAATTAGACAAAATTTTACTAGGATCAGACAAGAAAAATATAACTAAATTTTACAACTATCTATTAGAAGTGGAGTTAGAAGAAGAGACAGTTAAAGGGAATATGATAGCCTGGAGTAGGAACGTAGGACGGAATATCACTTTAATAGAATGGGAAAAGATCTGGAGTAGAAACAATAAGATCACAAATTGGCAGCATATAAAGAAAACTCTTATAAAATGTTTTACAGATGGCACCTTCCTCCCTCAAGATTAGCGAAGATGCGCCTCAACATGAGTCCGAAATGCTGGAAATGTAAAAGAAAAGTTGGAACCTTTTTTCATATGTGGTGGTCCTGTAAAGAAACCCAAAAATACTGGCAGAGAATTAGAAATTGGCTGGAAGATATAACAAAAGAACAGATTGAGTATAAACCAGAGTCCTTCCTGTTAGGGATTTTCGATAAACAGCTATCAAAAAAAGTCAAGTACATAACAATACACATATTAACAGCGGCCAGACTAGCGTTTGCTCAATGTTGGAAGCTACCTCATATACCTACAGAACAGATGATCATCCAAAAAATCTCAGACTGTGCAGAAATGGACAAACTAACTTTAGCCTTAAAAAATAAAGATTTTTCAATATATTATAACAATTGGAATTGCTGGTATAAATGGTTAGAAAAAAGACAGATTCTATATCATAAGGAAAAAAAGAATAGGACAAATCTATATGAGTGATATATAAACATACATAGGGATGAGGTGTGCGTATGTGGCATAAATCAAGAAGAGAAAAGATCTTACAAACTGTCGAAAATGAGAATGTTTTTAAGTGTTCCTTTTTCTTTTTTTTCTTTTTTTTCCATTCTTTTTTCTTTTTCTTTTTCTTTTATTTTTTGCTCTTCTATTTGTGTATGTGTTGTTGATTTGTTTTTAATTGTAAAATTAATAAAATTTGTTTTTTTTTAAAAAAAAGAAAAAGCAGGCAAACGTTGGCTACCAATTTAGAAACTGGACCAGGAAGCCAACTATGCTAGCAAACAGGATGCTTGCATCTCTGCATCTCTTGGGCTTGGACACTCACCAGGCAGAGGCAGCTTTGTGGGGTCCTTTCGAGTGGGGTGTCATGCATCCTCCAGGGCCCCCCTTGTGCAGCACAAGTGTTGCCCCTTCCATGAGGAAAGAACCCTTTATAGTCTCAAACAGACCAAGCGAAATCCTTGCCTGGAATTCAAGCTCAGCCCGTCTCTGGGTCTTTGTTGCTTTCTCAAGTCTTCCCCTCTGGGAGAAATGGCTCTCCCTGCAGTATTGCCAGCCCTGGAACCGGCCCAGGGTGGGCAGGAGCCTCCGCAGACGGCACGGACGGAGCAGAAGAGGGGCACCCAGTGGGCTGGGAGCCATCTCCTCCGGCGCCGGGTGGACCCAGCCATTTCCGTTAGTCCCTGGAGGAGGGAGGGCAAAACATTGGCCAACTAGGGCTCCTTGGGCTCCAGTGGGAGTTTAAAGGGAAGGCAAGAGTGGAAGAGAAAATACGACCTTGGTCAGGACAAGGAAACCACCCCCCTCTCTGTGTCATGTTTTGGAAACTTAAAAGAATAGGAGTAGGGAATAGAATAGGGAATAAGAACAGAATATAGAACAGAATATACAATTGAATTGAATTCTTTATTGGGCAAAATGGATTGGACACACAAGGAATTTGTCTCCAGTGCAGAAGTTCTCAGTGTATATATATAAACAGCAAGTGATAAATCATGATCATAATCATAAAATACAATCCTCATAAATCATGAGATACAGCACTCAGTGATTGTCATGGGAGACTAATCAGTCAAGGTAAATCAGAATAGAATACTAAATAAAGGCAATCCACATGAATCACGAGATACAAACAACAGAATTATCAGGGGCCCTTGGTGCTCTCTGCTTGTTTCTTGCAAATGTTTCCTTACGCTAACTAGGTAACACCATTAGGGTGAAGGATGTACAGGTAATGGGAAAGATGGAAAGATGAGAAGGATAATAGGTAATACAGCTTTCCTATGTTTGACGTTCTGAGGCATAGAGGCTGTTGTGGGAATTAGTTGTTTAGCAGAGTGGTAGCATGGGAGCGGGAAACTCTCTTTGTGTCCGGTTGTTTTGGCGTGCAAAGCTCTGTCAGTTTAGCCATGTAACCTTGGAAGATCAGGAAACATGAATAAAATGCAGGGAGGATGCTGGGAAGTAAGCAAAAGCTCTGGAGTGAAGGACAGTGTAAGATAAACCCATTAAGATAATTCTCATGAATGTGCAGCTTGCCTCACTACACCATTGTTTGTTGTCATTCCACCCCTTTGCCTCAAAGGATCCTTCCATATCTGGCCTCACTAACCACATGCACCAGCCCCGTGTATCTTTGGCCAAATCACATTAGTCAATCATATGCATATTTTAATTTGCATAACTGTAAGTGTAGGGAAAACCCACCGGGCGAGGGAGGACTCAAGTGCATCATTAGCCTTGAGTCTGTGCACCGTTTCAAGAGGTCCAAAACTGACCCGCAGCTTAAGAATTTCTACATTGCTCTCTCACCCAAGTGATTCTGGGCAGTTGACAGGTGTGCATTACAAATCGCTGTGCTGCAACTGGTAGTATCAGCATGGGGGGGGGGTGTGCCTTCATTCTACCCTTTTGACATTCTAGTGGCCTTCAGTATCTTGGCATTCTTTTTTTTAAAAAAAAAACAAGTTTTATTAATTTTCAAAACATACAAATCATCTTTATCCATTACATGTTTAAACCTTTTTCCATTATAAATTTAACAAGTCAGATAAACTATAATTCTGTTTTAAACCATTTCCATATAAACATACAAAAACCTCTTGTCCAATTTCTCTTTACTTCTCTTTACTCTTATTCAATTTCATTATTATTATTTCATCTATTTCTTTCTGACTTAGTTACCATTATTCTCATTCTATATTTCTGCAAGGTTTTATTAATTCTCCCAAAAAAAAAACATATACACACAACACACAAAACATAAAAAAAAATCTTTTTGGAAAGTAACTTGGACCCAGGTATCTCTCTCTTCATGGACTTCAATTATATTCATGCTCATCTTACATATCATTACTTATTTTATTTACCATTCTAAGCCTTCTATATTAACTTCTCCACATATTTCACTCTTCTTAATTCTATCTTAATTAATCATCTTAATTTGAGTCATTATATTTGTATCTTTTGTCCATTCTTTATTGTCCCTTTGTCTCGTTCCTTATAAAAAAAAAAAGAAGTTTCTCCTGAAATCACTAATCAGAGTATGATGCCTTTCTATCTCCCCCCTAAATTAATCAAATTAACCTTTAAAATAATGCCCAATACCCAATCCGATTTTGCTTGGTACATTCTATCTAAATAGTACATCCAGAATAATTAAATACATAGTTAAACAATAGATCTAAATATTAAAAACAAATACTATAATAAAAATTTTATAATAACATCAATACCATAATCTTATTAAACTCTTTAATTAAAACTCAATATTCTAAACCTCCCCTCATATTATTAAATTTTAAAACCAATCATTATTAAACATTTCAACATTTTAATCTCTTATCAACTCTTAACCCATTTAAGTTTTCTATTTCTAATACAATACTACAATATCATCTTATGTACCTTGCAAAATCTTTTTGAAGAAATTATACTTTATCCTTTATCCCTAAAAAAGATTCCTTTTTCCCCATTTAATTTCAAAACTTTGTAGCTTTTCTCCACCTTTTCCCTTTCTTTCTTCTCCCAACAAACCTTTCTACCCCGCCTTCTT